ACTTATTTTGAAACTAAATAAACAAATATTAAAAGAGGCTCCAGGTGTGCCACAAATAACGTTTTATTGCCAAGAATATTTGATTCATTTCATTTGATAATGTCCGCCAACCACCCCATGCTCATGGACTCATAGAGCGTCCATTCTTATCGAAATTTGGCCATAAATTGTTGATAGTCTAGTTAAATGAATTTGGCAACACCGAGCAAAAGTTTTTAAGGTTGGTGTTAAACAAATCTTTGAACGACAAAACAATTGTTAAGTCGGCATTCTTGCTGCGGTGACTTTTAAATAGTTCGATATGTACTTCAGCTTACAATTTAAGTGCGAATTAATTGCTTGCGAATTTAGAGTCTCTATCGATCGATAATCAGTTCTATTTTTTTGTATTGTATTGACATTTAGATGCCTAAAGCTCGGTGGCATGCCAAATCAATAACAACAATGATACAGTGGTTTCTATTTACCTGCATCAACATTAGCTGCGCATTGGCCTTTGCAGACCAAAAAAACTTTTTTATGCCATTTTTTTCTGAATCCCTTTATTTGAATTGTATTTAAGTGCCCAATCGATGGCTGCACATTGGACATTCCTGCCTCGAAAATTTGGTAATTTTTTTTTAATTTGGTTACAAAAGTTGTATTTATCTGCACAAGAAAATTTTTTGCAAACTCAAAGAAGACACTAAAACCATAGACAAATTAAGGTATAGACTAAAAAGTTGTCTCATCTGTTATCTTCGAAAAAAGTGTTTCAATAGATGTCGTTCATGCTGTAAGAGAGGTTCAGTAGACTCACTCAATTCTCTCACTATACAAAATATTGAATATTTTTATGATACTTTAATATTTATCAACTAAAAACGAAACAGTGACTTTGTTTACATTGACATTACCCAACTATATCGTGAAATATAAAAATATAGGACTTAAATAGCAGAAAAATGAATAAATTGTTTTCGAAGTCGAGTGACTTCACTAGCCCTGAGTGACTTTACTGGCCCAAGATCAACCATAGTGACATCTGGCGGAAGGGGTAAATTTTAAAACTTTTTAGTCTATACCTTAATTTGTCTATGGTTATGCTGGATAAAACACCACTGATGCTCAAATACATATGTTGTGATTTTGTCTCTCTGAGTTTGTCTATCCATTGCTTACCCAGCGGATTTTTTAGCACATACATCTTTCATCTGAGACCAATGACAATGTAGGTGCGACCCATCGAAAGCCTGTATACAATTTTTACTTACATTTACACAGCGATGGCCTAGGCCGTCAGACGAGTCCGAAATCTACCGACAATGTAAGCGAATGTTGGATGGGTCCGAAATCGGCCGACAACGTAAGCGAATATTGGATGGGTCCGAAATCTATCAACATTGTAAGCGAAGGTTGGATGGGTCAAATTTCATCAACATTTTAGATTGTGGAACTTAAATTTCAGATGTTTTTTATTAAAATATTCGTATTATAGAACAGCGTTTTCAACCATAAAATATTCTTATTATAATGAGAAATAATGCATAAAAAAAAAATTCATATAACTTATTCAAAAGACGTGGGAAGAAACAAAGCTTAAACTAAAGGAAAAAAATTAAAATTTTCCAGTTTTTTTATTGTAGGATGTTTATAAGTTTAAATTCCTTAAACGACTTTTTATTTTGGGTACCATCATAGTTGTAAGATATTATTATAGAAATGTCTATAATATTGCAGAAGTTTTTAATAAGTCCATCTGGCGAAATTATAATTTTTATTATACTAACCTGAAAAAAATTAAATTATTATAGGATTATAACGGAGAGATTTTAATATTCTTACATATTTTCCAAAATCTTCTACAATTTTGGAATGCATGGAATTATCATTTAGTACAATATCATTGTTTTCCAAACAGTCCGTCCTCAACTGTGCATTTCTTTTTAAATTGTATGCTTCCACTTTCTTTAATCTCTTAAATTTCTACTTCTGAATCATACCATTTTATTTAACTTATTTAACACACAACACTTACTATATTATTATTTTATTAATTTACTTTATTCACTTTTTTTCAATATACACAACTTGCACTTTCAAAATCACTTCACAGAATAAAATTTTGCTTTAAAAAAGAAAGAAGCATCAAAAACGAATAACGGTACAACACCGGCTGCAACAACACACACAAAAAAAATACAAAACAATACAAAGGCATCCGATTCAGATGCAAGTGCGATGGACACATTTTATTATATTTTGTTTTGTTCTTTAATTCTAATATGGATTTTGTTCCACAATGTAATAGCAATGCGACTCATCCAAATCGGATGCTAGTTGTATGCTATAAACCACTTTTATTTCATTTTTTCCTATTGACAAAGTAGCATACATTTGGATGGGTATTAAATTGTAATGGCGAGCGGACTGCTGGGTAACTACTTTTGATGAGCTAAAAGAGAACACTCTTTTGTTTGAAGTTTCGATCACGCTAATGGAGAGCATTGCTTGCCTAGACAATTCATGAGAATTATGAATTATTTATTTTATGTTAAATTATTGTGTTTAATATAATTAAACCACTTAATAAATGTATTATAAACTTTAAAAGATTCCCCATTGATTTTGGCTGGCTATTACACGTACGTAAGTAAAATAAAGATTGCTGCTTTGTTGTGCACGAAGAGAAAATTAAAGATACCTGCACTTTTTGTGCACGTAAGTAAAATTAAAGATACCTGCTTCATTGTGCATATAAATGCAATGAAGCTACCTGCATTTTGGGCATTGCTGCACAAGATGTCGTGTAATTTTTGATTGTGCAGGTAAGCAAAAAATACTGTATAGCAATTGGGAGTAGACAGATTTCAGCGGCTATGTCCGTTCAAATTAATGGAGAGCATTGCTTGCCTAGACAATTCATGAGAATTATGAATTATTTATTTTATGTTAAATTATTGTGTTTAATATAATTAAACCACTTAATAAATGTATTATAAACTTTAAAAGATTCCCCATTGATTTTGGCTGGCTATTACACGTACGTAAGTAAAATAAAGATTGCTGCTTTGTTGTGCACGAAGAGAAAATTAAAGATACCTGCACTTTTTGTGCACGTAAGTAAAATTAAAGATACCTGCTTCATTGTGCATATAAATGCAATGAAGCTACCTGCATTTTGGGCATTGCTGCACAAGATGTCGTGTAATTTTTGATTGTGCAGGTAAGCAAAAAATACTGTATAGCAATTGGGAGTAGACAGATTTCAGCGGCTATGTCCGTTCAAATTACGGACAGGGTGTTTAACTACTTTAAACACCAATTCTTTCTTAAACAAAAAATTGTTACTAAATTGATATATTGGTCTAATATAAGAAAACATTGTAGCACTTTTTAGAGAGCATCTTATGGTCAAAAATGTACTCCTAAGAACGCTGTAGGAAATTGGCATAGTAAATAACTACCCTGTATAAAATGTCAATAGAGAATAACTACAGGGTGAGATAAAAATGCAACTAAGTCAAGTGCCATAATTTTTAGATTTTTTTTTTTAATTTTATTGAATGAAAGCAAAAAATGTGGGAAATTGCATCAAATTTTAGAATAAGTTTAGATTTTTTCGAATTGGTCACCTTTGGCACGAATTACACACGCTGCTCGAATATTGCTCTGCGGTATTTTGGTCCATTCCCGTCGAAGCACTTGCTTAAGGTGATCGACACTTTGGTATTTTTTTTAGTGCCAACCTTGCTTTCAAAAATACTCCGGACACAATTCTTGGGTAGCGCGTGTTGAGGCCTGTTGGAATGTCCAAGGTCTGCGGCCAAAATGTTTGCATGCCCAAGGCTTTAATACACCCTCCATAATATTTTCGCGATAATATTCGGCATTTATTCTGATGTCACGGTCGATTAATACGAGCGGAGAGCGACCATCGGCTGTTATGGCGGCCCACATCATCACCATGGCCCGCTCTTGAGTTCTGTTGACCGACCTAAGGTGAATATTTTCAGCTGACCTCTTTTGGTTGTTCACAAACTGCTGGACAACGAATGTTTTCTCATCGGAGAAAACCAAATCCGGCAGTTCACCACTCTCGCCCAACCGAAGCAGCTCTTTGAGTCTATTTTCTTTCAGTTGCGGTGTAAGATCTTGCATTTTTTGGAATTTCAATGGCTTTACCCCAAGTTCATTTTTCAATATTTGCCGAATGGAATATTGCGATATGTTCAGCTCAGGAGCCATTTCAAACCATTTCTGCTGATGTTGCTGTTTTTTTCTTCGTCCACTTCCTTGACGTCGGGCTACGCTACCAGTATCACGGTAACGAGCGAGCCAGCCAAACACAAAGAAGTCACACTATCAGGCTTGAATTCTATCACGAATAACTTTTTTGTCTGGAAAATTCTCACCAAAATGCTTTTGTACGCTTGTAAACAATACAATGAGCTGTCACTGGAATAATTTTAACACTTTGAAATGACAGCAGTCTGAAGTTGGTTGCAGTTTTTTCATCTAACCCAGTATGAAGGAGCATAACAGAGCATGGTATAATTATTACAGGCAACAACAAGTCCCAGCTGATTTGACTCTATGGTAATACTAGTGTCAAACTCGATATGACGTTTTGTGATTTAATTTCATTTCTTGATATACATAAGGTATACTCTTTATTGATAAAAAAATTTCACTGCAGGGCATGTGAGAATATTTTTTGCCTAATAATAGAAAAAATTGCCGTTGTACTTAACGAAACGCCAAAGGCGATGGTTCGGCAACTTTTTTGCGGTTAAGGAACAACGACACCACGTTAAATAATATTTTCGTATATTTCATGTTTCCTAAAATTGCAAAATGTAGAATACTTTATATATGTATGCTGTTTGGTTCCAACTTGAAAGGGATGTTGCCTTTTCCGCGATTTTCTAGCGATTGCTTGATGTGTTGAGAGAATTGGACCTACAGCTAAGAACTATACATTCATTAACAATAAATATTTTAAGAAGTATTCTTCTGCATTTTCAATTTAATAATCCAAATTCAAAAAATGTATATTTTTGAAATTAAATTAATTTATTGGAAATTAATTATTTTGTTTACATTTTTGGACATATAACCCTGAAACTTGTATTTCGTACAAAAACAAATTTGTATGTGGTTGTTGTTACGATTGGTGTAAAACAACACTTGCTGTTACCTGTATTATTCTACCATGATAACAGAGGTGGAAGTTTCATACTGGGTTAGATGAAAAAACTGCAACCAACTTCAGACTGCTGTCATTTCAAAGCCACAACCACTTATTCTGTTTATACCGCGCATTTTGTGCTAGGCTAAGAAGTTTCCGAACTGCCTTCGGAATACGATAACCGGAATTTTTGTTTTATGATATTATGCAAATGTCATGGTAGAAGAATATAGGTAGATGCATCAAAGCTTGTAGATGCAAATTTTAAAATTGTTTTGTCAAAAAAGGTTACAATATGCATTTCTCAGCAATCTTTACAAGTTTTAATAATTTTTCATTCAACATTTTCAATGACAGTTCATTGTCCCAGCAGCTGTGTCGAAGCGACTACCTGTATTCTTCTACCATGGCAAATCTGGTAGATGCTGGCATGTTCTTCAACCAAGCAATAACCTGTGCCCTAAAAATGCAACTCTGTACTAGAGTTTTACTATATCAATAGACTTTACATATGACACATAACATGAATGAAACGTTGGGAATTTCTTTCGCACATTTTCGGGTAACTTTGTGGTTATTATTTTTCATTTTTTTTTCTATATTATACTATTATATATTTACAATTAGGTAAATGTTAACAAGATAAATGACAAAAAATTCAGAGTTTGGTACGTCTATTTGAAATCAGGTATTCTTTAATTAATTGTACCATGCCTTATAGGATGACATTGTATCATGGTATAAGAATACAGATAGTCGCATCGACACAGTTGCATTAAAATTATACTTCGAAAAACCAAGCCCACTCAAACCCAACCCTCACGATATTGATTTCTTAAACTAATTTCAGAATACATTTGATTGTGGCTTATATTAAAAGCCTTACAAGCACTACACCCAACAGTGTGAGCAAGGACAATTTGAAAATAGCGCCCGAATTGCACTCGGTATACAGGCAAATATCACATTTTTCCAGATTCACGCCTACATTGGTCTCAACAATGTCGCACGCAGCCTGCGAAGGCAGTGTAGCCACGCAACCCTTTTTAGTGATGGATTGGCCACCCTCTATTTGAAAGAATGAAAGAGAGAGAGAGAGAGAGAGAAAGAAAGGGATAAGTTTAAGAATCACATGTGTGGAAATACAACATACCTTGATATTGGACAGTGTAACAGGCAAATCGATCGTCTGTTCCTGGTGGGCTAAGAGGATTTTTTGTGGTAGCTATGGTTGAAGGTGGCCTAGTGGATGAACTAGCGGTGGTTGACTCTGTAGTAGAATCTGTTGTTGGTGTTGGCGTTGATTCTGGGGGTGGCGTTGTAGATCCGGCTGTTGGCGTAGATTCAGAAGATGCTCTTGTTGTTGAGTCCGAAGGTGGTGTTGTTGTTGGTTCTGAAGGCGTTGTTTCTGATTCTGTAGTAATTGTTGTAGAATCTGTTGCTGGTGTTGGCGTTGATTCTGATGGTGTTGTTGTTGTAGATTCTGAAGGCGTTGTTGTCGTTGATTCCGAAGTAGGTGGTGTTGTAGTAACCGTTGTTGTTTGTGTTGGCGTTGATTCTGGGGGTGATGTTGTAGATCCGGCTGCTGGCGTTGATTCAGAAGATGTTGTTGTTGTTGAGTCCGAAGGTGGTGTTGTTGTTGGTTCTGAAGGCGTTGTTTCTGATTCTGTAGTAGTTGTTGTAGAATCTGTTGCTGGTGTTGGCGTTGATTCTGACGTTGTTGTTGTTGTAGATTCTGAAGGCGTTGTTGTCGTTGATTCCAAAGTAGGTGGTGTTGTTGTTGGTTCTGAAGGCGTTGTTTCTGATTCTGTAGTAGTTGTTGTAGAATCTGTTGCTGGTGTTGGCGTTGATTCTGACGTTGTTGTTGTTGTAGATTCTGAAGGCGTTGTTGTCGTTGATTCCAAAGTAGGTGGTGTTGTAGTAACCGTTGTTGTTGGCGTTGTTTCTGAAGTTTTTGTTGTCGTTGATTCAGAAGTAGATGGTTCAGTAGGAACCGTTGTTGTTTGTGTTTTAGTTGATTCTGGGGGTGATGTTGTAGATCCGCCTGTTGGCGTTGATTCAGAAGATGTTGTTGAGTCTGAATTAGATGGTGTTGTAGGAACCGTTGTTGTTGTCATTGTTTCTGTCGCTGATTCTGAAGTAGGTGGTGCTGTAGGAACCGTTGTTGCTGACGTTGTTTCTGTCGCTGATTCTGAAGTAGGTGGTGCTGTAGGAACCGTTGTTGCTGACGTTGTTTCTGTCGCTGATTCTGAAGTAGGTGGTGCTGTAGGAACCGTTGTTTCTTTATTCTCATCCGAAAGAGCCCTTGCCCGTATTACGTGCGATCTGTAATTCCTACTTTCTGGCGTCGACGGCGTTGTCGGAGTGGGACCAGCTGTTGGTTTTAAAGCATCGTCAGTCACCGAACATGTAATCAATTCCATGGTATCCTTGGTACCACAATTGTCGCCATGACACTGATAACATTGGAAGTCATCGCCAAAAACTGTAAATTATACCGAAACGAAGTGTAAAATTTATGGCATTAAAAGGGAACTAAACGCAGATGTAGCGAAGAAGAATAATCATAAAAGAAAATATAAAAATAAAGGAGAGGGTACATAAGCAGCTTGGCATCATGGCTAGGCATATTAATGTCAAACCATAAGGGAAAACGACGGCAAGATACGAGTACATCTCTTAATGGTCAAGTCAATATACATTATAAGAATATGCTGCAAAATGGGTGTCCGAATTCAGCCGTGTTGTAGAATATAGCAATTTGAGATTGCGTTTTTTTGTCTTCATATCATTATCTTTTACCTTTTGGATGATATATGGCTAATTGAAAAATGTGAAGAAAATTGGTAAAACCACGAATTTCGGAAGGTACCATTTTATATGGGATATACACAGATGTGGACCCTATTTTTTTACAATTTTTTAAAATTCCATCGAATAATTTTGTATAATTCATCAAAATATCGAATGCCGTTAGATACACTTATATAGGATTTATTTTATATAGCACTATTTGTCAACACCAAATACCAATTTCGTTAAGCAATCCATTTGGCAACTCTGTTGTGTGAAAATTATTAATATTACTAGCTGACCCGGTCCGCGTTGCCGGCCCGTACTTTTAGTCTTTAAAGCATAATAAATCACAGATCTGACTTATGTAGGCGGCACAATTTTGATTATAAGTAATGACTTGATTATGAGTATGGAGTCATTACTCATAATCAAGTCATTACTAAAATTATAAAATTATAAATTATAAGACATTACTAAATATAAATTAATATTCATGGGAAAAATTATAAATACCGTCGGTTTTAGATATTTTGAATAGCCTGATCTTATTTTTCAGCTATAGGCTTTAATTTGAGTGTTAAATACCTATATGATAAAGAACAGCTATAATAGCCCCATGTGAAAATTCAGCTCAATTTTTGATATTGTAAAAAGCATTCAAATGAGCTATAATTTTAAATTTGTATTTCCAACGTTTTAAATCTCGTACTGCGTGGTATTCAGTTTTGTCCAAATCATACTTGAAGGCAGAATGTTGTCAGAATAGCCAAAAAAATACTCTTTTGCTCCGATTACCGTAGGATGGGCATTAATTGTTTGTCATTTAAATTGTGCGGTGGAGATCCAATAAAGTTACTTTATAATTTCGTATTTTTTTTCATGTTTCTGCCACAATATCCGACTGAATGAGTCCAAAATCTACGTTCCCAACCAATATTCTCTTGGGGGTTACAAATTCAATAGAATATCAAATTTTCTTTTCTGACCACACATTGGTTGGGAAAGTGGACTTGGGGATATACTAATGTGAGGACTATACTTAAATAAATTCCTATGAGGACAATTATCTGTAAGATGATTTTCTACCCCAGGGTTTTTTACCCCAGGTAGCCTCAAGACTAAGATGAGCACTTTTCCGAAAAATAAAACTTTATTTAAAGAGGTTTTCTTCCCCCTTAGAAACAAAGATGTCAAATAAGGGCCAAAAAATGAAAAAAGTGGCCAAGACCCCGAAAATAACTTAAATCATATAATGGTGATACCAAAACGTGATAATTTTTTGCAAAGATGGTTTCTTCTTAAATTATCAACATAAGCTAAAATTAGTACGAAAAATATGGTTAAAATGTAGAATATACTTGAAATCGGGTTGTTCCACTATCAGGGGTTATGATCCATATCATGATCTGCCAAAGCGATTAAAGGTATCTTTAATGTTTAGGTAGAATTTCTATTTTACGTTCTTTATAGTCGGTATTTGACTGATTGCAGTCCCAATGAATTTTGCATTTTGTGTTCTCATTTGACAATTTATTGTCATATGAAAGAAGCAGGCCCACTTTTTGAAATTAACCCAATAACGCTTCTTCGGTCATTTTTGTTTGTTTAAATGTGTTCGCATCTTCCAGCTGAAGCACGATGTAGGTCCTGGAGTAGAAAGCATTTAACATCGCATTGCGCCCTCATTTCATTTTTAATATTATTCATTCAGAATTCAAACCAATAAAAATATGTACACTTCAATATAGAAAAAATAAAAAGAATCTTCAACTGGTTCGCTGATTTTTTTGCGGCAAATTTTTAAAGGTCCTTACGAAGTTTGTCGGTAGAATGTACTATTATTTTGAAATTCGATTCCATTGAAAAATTGCCGATTTTTCCCGATCTTAGAATTTGCATATAAAGCGACAACGGATAAAATTGTTATTTATAGATTTTGTGTATTTATTGGGTATTACGAATAAATACATAAAATCTATAAATAACAGTTTTATCCGTTGTGGCTTTATACTACCCAAAAAAAACCTACACATCATATTAGAATTAAAAAAAAACACTACAAATGTACATTCGAAAATAGTAAGTCAAAATGGAAAAAATATGCAATATAAAACATTACTATTGTACATTTTAAAAGTCAAAATGAAAATGTTCAAATTTCACATTTTTACGCGATTTTTTTGGATTTTATTCTTTTCTGCCAAGAGGCAATTCCGAATTTGTCTAAATCGTTAAAATCAGACCGGCGGTCTTTATGTTATAAGAGTAGTAACTAACACAACTTTCTTTTACATATAGAGAGATAGATTTAAAAGTAGGCGCGTTCCTCAGCCCCTAAATAAGTACTTAGGGTTGAATGGAAAGCCAACAGCATCTCGTGTAATAATTCTCAAACCGATATCTTCACTATTTTGGCAAATATAAAGATTTTAGATAAATCGTAATAGTGGGCGTAAAAGGAGGCGTGGCCAATATTTTTTCTTTAAAAACCTAACTCGGGGTATGACGAACGTTTGTACAAAAAATTATGCAAATCGGTCCAGCCGTTTTCAACTGATTCCGTTACCAACAAACAACAATTGATTTTTATATATATAGATTACTAGCTGGCCCGGTCCGCGTTGCCGGCCCGTAGTTTTTGTCTATTATGCATATATTCCCAAGCATAATTATTCACAGATATGACTGATATAAGTGTTCACGTACAGGTCGATTTAAAGTGTTTTAAAATACCTGTACCCATTTTTAACCAGTGGGCTTCAATATTTAAACCGTGGGCTTCAACTGTGTGGATGTGCTATACAAATCTATTAAAAAGTATATATCAATCTTATCGCCATATAAGGGATCAAATTAATTTTTAATATGGTAAAAATCGTAGCAAAATCTTCCAGTCAAATGAGCAGTAATTTGGAATTTGCTGTATTTTGTATACTACATAATTGAGGGCTGAATGATTTAAGAATAGCCAAAGTTAGTTACTTTTTTAAACCCATTAGCAACTTAGATTGTGCATTAGAGTCCTCATAAGTCCCCCTAACCATGTCAGTCTGTTTGTCCGCCAAAAGGTGGACTTGAGAGGGTATTATAACATGGATAAAAATTCTAAAATTTGTAGATATGTTGAAATTTTAGTGTAAGATTTTCACCCCCCTAATACGCATTATTAGCCAAATTCTTTGAAATGTGGTTAAATTAGGAGGTACCTTCTTTATATGGGAACTACTCCGAAACATCGACCTACATTGAAAACTTTCTTCTACCCCTTATAATCCAAGATGACAAATAGAGGCCAAATCAAAAATATAGCAGAACAATATAGCATGTCATAGCATTTCGCGAGATTTAAATAAGTAAAAATAGTTTTATCCACCTCATAATTGAGGGCAGAATGATAAGATGGGAATTAATTTTATTTGCCATTTAAATTGTAAGTTGGAGACCCCTTAAAGTCCATATTTTCATCATAGGATAATTCAATGATGATTAAACAAATATTCTGTCCCGTGCTACTTTCTTATATTTGTAATTTGTTCATGTTTCCACAATTTATTTCATATGGATGCACATCCCAAATCTACGTTCCCAACCAATATTCTCTTGGGGGTTAAAAATTCAATAGAATACAAAATTTTCTTTTCTGACCACACATTAGATGTGAAAGTGGACTTGGGGATACTCCAATGTGGGGACTTTACTTAAATAAATTGCTATGTGGCAATTATCTGTATGATGGTTCCCTACCCCAGGGTGGCATAAATAAAATTTTTTAGCCAAATCAATTGATGAATGTGATCAATACCAATATGGGCCCTACTCTGAAAATTTCAAATTTTATGCGAAGAGGTTATCTACCCCCTTAGCAACAAAAATGTCAAATAAGGGCCAAAAAATGAAAAAAGTGGCCGGCCAAGACCCCAAAAATAACTTAAATCATAGATGGTTATATAAATATGAAATCGGGTTGTTCCCTTATCCATGAGTTATGATCGATATAAAGACCTGCAAAAGTGATTTTAGGTATTTTGAATGTTTGGGAAGAATTTCTGGAAGGATATAAAACCTTTTCTTACTAAAAGTCCCATTCGCTCTACTATTTTGCACCTTTTATTTCAATATTGGTATATTACTTATTATTCTCCCAAAGAATTTTGCATTTTGAGCTCTCATTGGACGGATCATTGTCACGCTTTGAAATGAGCCCCATTAAGCTTTTTCGGTTGAAAGGTAGATGTCAGTTAACATCCTATTTCGCACTTATTCAATTTTTTTAGTGAAAAATTATTCTTTATTTTGTTCACAAAAAAAATTGACAAAAAAAAAGAATAACAAATTGAAAAAGTCTTCAACTTTTTCGCTGATTTTTTACAGCAAATGTTTTAAGATCCTTCCTTACAAAGTTTGTCAATAGAATGTACTATTACTTTAAAATTCGATTCCATTGAAAATGTTTTTTTGATTTTTGCAATGAGATCTCTTTTTCGTGATTTTTCAGCGATTTAGAAAAAGTGATTATCTTTTAACTTTGGTGTGACCGCGTTAAATTATTTCGATATCATCTATTCCGTTTCGCCACCACATAATTCGCTACTACACTTCCATGTAACCCGCCATCAATTTCAGTTCTCAAGAAATCAAGTCAATTAAATAAATTGGTATAAATATTCGAATTCAAAAATAAAATATAAAAAACACTACAAATGTACATTAGAAAAAAGTAAGTCAAAATGGAAAAAAATCATGCAAAATAAAACATTACTATTGTACATTTGAAAAGTCAAAATGAAAATGTTAATATATCACATTTTTACGCGATTTTTTTGGATATTATCCTTTTCGGAGAGTAGACAACTCCGAATTCGTGTGAATCGTTAAAATTAATCCAGCGGTTCTTAAGTTATAAGCGTAGTAACTAACACAACTTACATTTATATATATAGATTATATAAAATTAAAAAAATATTTTAATTTGTGTTTATGTTGAAATAATTGTGGTGAAAATATGAATTATCCTTTTGATAACTATACATATCCCGAAAGTATTTATTGATGTGTATATGTTTGTGTTATATGCAAAAGTAGTCCTGGAACAGTGTTGGCATGTTTGTTCGGTGTACCGTAGTATTTTGTTGTTGAAAGTAGGCTTAATCCGACTATTGTTGTTTTCATAAAAACAACGTTTGTTTATTAGTGGAGAACGATGGTAATGTTTACCAAGGGGTAATGCGGGAAACACCTAGGTTTCGGAAAGAGCCAACAATCCTCATTAGTTCCCTTGTCTTTTGTCTGGGATATTCTCCCTGCCTTACCCCCTGGTAAACATTATCAACATTAACAATAAACAGACGTTGTTTTTATAAAAATAACAATAATGGGATTAAGCCTAACTATTCTGCAACAACAAAATAGTCCTGCCTTAAATATTATTTTGTCTAACATGAAGTATATTTTTATACCCTCCAACTTGAAAAGGAGGTTATATCAACTTTGTCATTCCGTTTGTAACATCCCAAAATATATTTGTATTGTATCTAGGATGATTGGCATTGAAAACAAGTTAAAAAGTATCAATCGGTTCTGCCGACAGACTAATACCCTCAGCCATTGTTCGATTATTTAAATATATTTTGACTCCAGTTATGATTATTCAAACTGTTGACCCTCTATGGAGTGGTTTCAGAGGGAATGGATGGTAACTTGGTAACAGGTTGGTAACTTCCTTCACTTTACATGGTACATGTGAACATTTTTAGAAAATGTTAACATGTGCGTGAGGTACCAGGTATAGTCGACCGAAGTATTCCATTTTCATATTTCATATAATACACATAAATATATTGGTGTTGGAAAAACAAGTAAAAAACATTAAATTCGGCCGGGTCGATCTTTTAATATCCTCCATCTTAGGGTAAAGAAAACATTAGAACCCATTATGACCAACCAATACCTATTTTTAGACATATTCGTGGGAAAATGTGGCAAAAATCTTCAAAATACCGAATATCGGGAGGCACCGTTATATGGGGACTATACCAAAACGTGGACCGATATATCTCATTTTCAATACCAACCATCCTAGACACATACAAATTGTTCTGCTAAATTTTGATGCTCAACGTCAAATAATGTGGGCTGTATCGTAATTTCAACAGACAGATGGACAGACAGACAGGCAGACGTACATAGTTAAATCGACTTAGTTTTATGCTGATTATTAAAAAAATAATAATAACTTCTTGCTAACCTGTTATCGTGCGGAGACTAACTACAAAACTATTTGGTCTCGAATATCACATCATTGCCTTCTCAGAAACGTGGCTTAAGTCATCAATTATATACCGAATACAGGGAGGTACCTTTATATAGGGGTTATACGGAACCGTGGACCTTTTATAATCAATTTTCTGTCATAGAAGGTGAAAATCATACGAGGTAGTAACAACAATTTTTTATACCCTCAACCATATGTCCGATGTCCGTCTCGTCTGTCTGATGGTTGGTGGGTGTGCACGATAACTCTCGAAGGGAGTATCCGATTTGGTCCAAACTTGGCATATCATAATATTATTACCAAGCTTAGATCGAGTTCGGAGATGTGCAATATCGGTCCCCTCCTTCTGTACCTCCCCATAATAGGCCGAAATTAAAAAGAAATATTTTACTGCACAGAAAGAGAGTCAATAATCCGATTTTGCTCCAACTTTGCAAATCCTAATATTTGGCCCAGTTCTCGGTCAGGTGCGAAAATGGACAATATTGGTCGACTCCATCAAGTACCTCACCCACAAAGGATCAAAATTTTGAATAATTACAACTCTTATAAAATGTGATGTAAGAGACCGATTGTCTTAAAATTTCACACATCCCAATATTTTTATAAACTCAAGATTTGGTGTTAAAGGGTCAAACTTTTGAATTTATATGAAACTCATAAGACGCGAAATTAACTTCCGATTTCATTCTTACTTGGCACATCTCCATATTTCCATAAACACAAGATTTGTTATATAGATGGAAAGTATCGGTCCACTCCTTTTGGTACCTGCCCACAAAGAGTCAAAATTTTGAATAACCAAAACGATCATAAAATCCGAAATAAAAATCCGGTTCTCTTCAAATTACCCACATCACATTATTTTTATAAACCCAAGGTCTGATGAAAAGATGGGATATATCGGTCCACTCCTTCTGGTAACCCCTCACAGAGAGTCAAAATTTTGAATATCCACGAAGCTCCTAAAATGCGAAATTAACATTCGATTCCATTCAGACACAATATTTTCATCGACATAAGGTCTGTTATAAAGATGATAGAGATCGGACTATTTCTTCTGGTACCACCCCCACATAGGGTTCAAGGTTTTGAAAAACAAAACGCTCAAAAAAGCGAAATAAGCATCCAAGTCTCTTCAAATTTCACAAATAAAAACATTTTTGCTGACACAAAATCTGTTCTGAAGACGGTATATATCTGCGAACCCATTTTGGTACTTTACTCACAAAGTGTCAAAATTTCCAATACTTATATCTATCATAACTCTCGACACAAGTCGACGATTCTTTACAACTTGCTATATCTAAGTATTTCTCTCAACCAGAGACCTGAGATGTATATGTAATATATGATTTCGCATAAAATTGGTTATAAATTCTCGCTTGTCTTTTAATTTTACCCATACCAATATTGGTATCTGTATTAGATGAAGTATGAAAATGGAAACAATCCCAAGTACCGAATTTGTAGCTCAAATCATAAAAATACCGAATATTTTAAGAAACAGTTAAATGGGGACTGTACCAAAACTTGGATCTATATGGACAGTTCTCTTCAAGAATGTTTCCTACATACTGGGAACACAAGTTGTCCGCTTACAGTAGATGAGGTTTAAAATTGTGACTTAAACCCTTAAATCGTATCTTAATGGGTACTTCAACCTATGGCAAACTATTTCGTATGCAGGTCCACGTCTTCGTACAGCCCCCATATGACGGTACCTCCAGATACACGGTATTTTCATGATTTTTGCGACATTATTAACCGGAATTGTAACAAACTACGTATTTAAAGTTTGCATTGGATACTACAGCCAATGCCCAAAAAATTCGTATGCAGGTTTACATTTTCGTATATGCCCCACATAACGGTACACCGCGATATTCGATATTTTAATGACTTGAGCGATATTATACACTGAAACTGCTTCAAATTTCGTATTTGCAGTTCGTAATGGGTACTACAACGTATGACAAAAATTTTCGTAAGCAGGTTCACGTCTCCGTATAGTCCCCATATAAAGATTTTCAATTAAGTGGTAGTTTTCGGATTGTTTTTTTTTTTTTTAATTTCCAAGTTCAAGTGGTGGAAGTTATTTAAAGTTCGGCCCGGCCGAACATAGCTACTTTTTCGATTGCTTTTTATTGACAACAAGCAATATCGAATTAAAGCAATTTTGTTGAAATTAACGGAGATTAAACTACGACGGCTAAACCGTTTGATATATCGGGTTAATTATGTGCTTTAAATACGACTAAAACGTGTTTTCTCTTTATGATTATTTTATTGAATTCAATTTATTATATTCTCAGTTCAATTTCTATTTTTTTAAATCTTTCAATCTAATTTACTGTTCACCAATAACGGCATTTAAAAATGAAATGCACCTTGATTTGCCATTAGAATGACAGAAATTAACCACACAACTCGAAACAGCATTTTATTTCCACCGATTTGTATTATTTATTAACTTTTATTATTATAATCAGTGTTATTCGTCTTTTCTTCGACGATATTTCGACAATGAATTTTCGATTGCAACTAAATTCAAATATTTCGATTCCAAAGCATTTGGGCCACAATCATTGAATGCCGTTGATACATTTAGAGAACTGCAATTAAAACCCCAATGTAAAATATTGGGGAAAATATCGACGATAAGGGGCAAAGATAACCGCGAGCACAAAAACAAAGGCATATTCGAACGAACCCAAGTCACCCATAAATCCCCAAGACCAATCGAAGGTATATACGCACTTGTTGGCTGTTGCAAGGCAATGCTTCCTAATAATTTTGGCCAGAGTTAGGCAATTCTTTTGATATCTGATAATTATTTTCAATAGAAATATTTTTCAGTTCTGATAAGACGAACCTCCCTCCATCGAACAAGAGTGCAATCATAAAGATTGTTTATATATTTCCTGGAATTTCGAAAATTTTATTAAATACTATTGGACCCGGGGAACTTCATCGTGCACTTATTTAAGGTATAGTAAAATAAATCATTTGACAATGGGTGCAAATTAATTTGTTGATGACAAGTAGATGTTTTCTCATCACATCTAAGAAAAATCGAGATAAATTTGCAAATGAAAATAAGGTATTTATTTATTTTATAATTCCTTCTGGTCCTTCAAATTGTGGTCATATAGTCACATTTGTTAACCCAATACACGTTATCGAACTCTTTTCTCCATTTACACATCACATCCAACATCTTTTTACTTCTTTAATCTCACTATCTTATTTTAATATCTCTCATCAAATTAAACTCTCTCTCACTCATTTTCTCTTCCTCACTCTCATATATCACTAAACCTGTTGCTCTTTAATATTCTCCAAATTTGCTTTTATTATATTATTGTTAATTGTTGTCAACTCACAATATTACTTGCTATTAAAAAATATGATTATAGTATAAACAAGTAAAGATGAAGCTAAGTTCGACCGAGCCGAACTATTTATACCCTCCACCATTCGGAAGGAACTTGAAAAATGCCAAAAAAAAATTCCGTCGAAAAATACGTTCAAATGAAAAACTTTTATATGGTGGTTATACGAAGACGTGGTGCTGGATAAGTAATTTTTGTGATAGGCTATAGTAACGATTCCGAACTTAAAATTTTCTCTGAATAATGTTGCGAAAATCCTGGAAATACCGAATATCTCGGGGTAGTGTTATATGGGTACTATACTAAAACGTAGAACTATGTAGAAAATTATCTTTCAGGGGGTAAAGTGCTCAGAGGGAACTCCTTGCGTGGACTATTCGATTGAAAAATGTGGCTAAAATCATCAAAATACCCAATATCGCGGGGCACTATTGTATGGGGGCTATACCATATCGTGGTCCTATATAGACAATTCTCTTTCTGGGGGTAAAGTACTCACAGAGAACTCCTTGTGTAGAATTTCAGACAATTCCATTAAAAATGTGGCTAAATTCATCAAAATACCAAATAACGAGAGGTACACTTATATGGGGGCTATACGATATCATGAACCGATATAGCCCATCTTCGAAGTTTACCTGTCTGCAGACAAAATACAGATCGGTGCAAAATTTTAGCTTCCTATATTTTCTCGTTTTGACTCTGATCAAGTTGACGCTGATCAAGAATATATATACTTTGTTGGGTCTTAAATTATTATTTCGATGAGTTACAAACGGAATGACGAACTTAATATACCCTCCAAACTATGTATGGTGGAGGGTGGATAATCATATCATTTTACTGTCCGTTTCGTTTGAATAATAACATTAATTTAATTTTCATAAAAATTACAAACGGCAAAATCGATTTAACTTCTATTTTATTTAAATTGATAAATTTATTTAAATCTGTTTTATTAAATCATTAACACAACCTGATTTAGTGAACGGCTGTGAAGTTTGTTTTAAATCCCCCATAGCTTCTGATTAATTCCATTTAAGGTTTATGTGACACAAAAGGCAGCCGATATCTATGATATTTGCTATCCGATAACAATTTTACAATAACTTTCAAAAAAAAAAAAAGAAAATCGCCTTATCAACCACCCACACATAAATGGTGACCCTCACATAAAATTTCAAGATTGTGCTTTCAGCCGTTCGCTCTGGATGTTGAATGTCAGTCAACTGCTTATCAGTCTGATACATATGTCAGTCAAACGCTTATTTAAATATGTATGTTTGTAATAGACGACAGGTAAAACGAAAGGTCATGCCAGTCGAAAGAAAACCCAACAATTTGTCTCTTATGGATAAATTAAAAGAAGGCAAATATTTTGTCTATGACTGAGGTCGCCATCCCACTCAGGTGCACCTAGCTAACAAATTTTTCCGAGAACTCCGACTTTAGAATTTTCCCCGAGATTTCTTTTTTATTCTCTCCACCATTCTATGGAGGAAATACTACCCTATAACATATATATATACTGGATCAGCTGAAATTCTAAGTTGATTTAGCAATGTCCGTATGTCTCTTTGTTGTAATCACTTTATCCTTCGAACAAATTAAGAAAGAAGGCTAAAATTTTAAACACATGTGTATTTTGTAGGGAGATTAAGTTCGTAAATGGATCATATCGGTCCACGTTTTCGTGTAGCCCCCATATAATGGTATCTCACGAAATTCGGTAGTTCATGATTATAGCGATATTATAAACCGGAATTGAATTGATAGTTGAAATTTGTTATGAGTACTACGGTCTAAAACAGAAAATCGCATACGCAGATCCACGTCTTTGGATAGCTTCCATATAACGATACCTTTCGATATTCGGTATTTTAATGATATTAGCGACATTATTAACCGGAATTGTTTCAAATTTCAAATACCAATATTCGGTATTTCATGATTGTAGTAACATTGTTAACCGGAATTGAATTGATAGTTAAAATTTGTAATGAGTACTACAGCCTATAACAAAAATTGCATTGCAAGCCCACGTCTTCATATTGCCCCCATATAACGATACCTCCCGATATTCGGTAGTTTGATGATATTCAGAGGAATTGTTTAAAATTTCGTAATGGGTCAGTATTTGGACATTATTCAAGTTCATCCAAAATGGTGGAAAGTATTAAACATTTGGCCTGGCCGCTGCTTTTCTACTTGTTTAAAGCTAGGTTTTCGTCACCTCAAGATGAAGTATCGGCCCGGCCGAACTTAACGTTTTTAATTGTTTTAAACTGTTTTTAATTTTCTCTTACCGATGTGTCCTGCTTGAGTTACTTTAAATTATATTAGAACACTTTTGTTATATCTTTTTTTATATATAATATAATTGTTATTGTTAAATTAAAACTCCAATCTATAACCATTTTCGTAGGGGTTTCTTAAAAGCTACGTATCCGAGGATGTCACAATCCTAATTAAAGTTGACATATTCACCTTGGTTTGTCATTAATGCGACACAAATTACCAAAAACAAAATTCGAAACTGCATCTTATTATCCACTCCTTCGATTATTGTATTTTTTTCTTTTCCCACACTATACAACGTTGAATTGTCAATTGCAACTAAATCCAAATAAGTTATTTCGTTAGCTTTTCTTCGTTTTTTAGGCTAAATTCATAAATTGCAGAAAATTGCAATGGAAAAAAATCCCCAAGTGAAATTCAGACATTAGATAAGAGCAAAGATAACAACGAGCATTACAACGTTGACATTCAGTAGTTTTTGTTGTTTTTTTTCAAATCCTCCAGAAATCTCCCAAGGCAATATGGTCAATGTGTATATCATTGTTTGCCGTTCAAACGTAGCACTTTTTAATTATTTTCGAAAACATTTGTCACTGTCGTAAAAATTTTATAACAGATTTCCGTGAAATGTAATTGCCTTGAAAAAAGTTTCCGATCTAAATGTTCAGTTTTTGGTAAACCCCATTTTTAGACAATACTAATTTGTTGCGAAAAAAAAAAACAACAATATTTATCCACAGTTACCCATCGGTCAAAATTAGGTCAAAGCGTTATTTGATCACTACATGACAAAGGAACACTACAAATTTCTCACAGTTAAAGCCATACAGGGTGAGATAAAAAAAAAACTGCAACAAAGTCAAACGCCATAATTATACCCTACAACACTATGTGTTGGGGGTATTATAAGTTTGATTGGGCCAAAAATTATGTAACACCTCGAAATATTGGTTTCCCATATAGGAAAGTATATATGGATCTTCCTAGCTCGCCGAGCTGAGTCGATCTAGCTATGTATGTCCGTCCGTCCGTCTGTCCGTCTGTCCGTCTGTCCGTCTGTCCATGTTAATTTGTAATCACTCTACAGGTCGCAATTATGGCCCAATCTTCACGAAATTTAGAATGGAGGTGGGGCTAGGGTCAGAATAGAACCCTATTTCTTTTGGAGATGATCGCCAAATGTTTAGGGGTTAAAATGGACCAAATACTGAAAAAATGTCGGATTTTGCAGTAGCTATACAGGTCGCAATTATAGACCAATCGACGCGGAATTTCGCATGTAGCTAGAGTTTAGGGCGGGGAAGAAGCCTACCAATTTGGGTGGTCATCGGATAATATTTAGCGGCTAAAATAGACCATATCTTTTTTGTTGAAAAAATTCAAAATTTTTCATTAAACCGCGAATATTTTTAATCCCGGCGAAAACACAAAGCCATGACAAGGTTACTTCTGATCTTTACATTGATGTTAACATCCAACAAAACGGATATATAGCAAAATATGTGCGATATATATGTTTATCAAAGAAGATATGCTTGAAAAATCTCTTATATGTCGAGAACGGCTGAACTGATTTCGACAGTTCTCATTAATTAAGAATGGCCTCTTGGCAGGAAAGAAAAAACGTCTAAAAAAATCGCATAAAAATATCTCTCTAAAGATGAAAATATTGATTTTGTAAAATTTTCTCATATTTTTTCAATTTTGTCATATTTTTGGCATATTTTCATTTTGAATTAAACATTTGGCAATATTTCTACAGCTAACAAAACTAAGTAGTTAGGATATCAGGATATCATATACAGATCGCATTTATGGCCCGATCCTTACGAAATTTTGCATGGGTATTAGATGAGGGTCAGAATAG